GAGGGGCAGCAGAGGGCACCTGTCCGACAGGAGGGGCAGCAGAGGACACCTGTCCGGCAGGAGGGGCAGCAGAGGGCACCTGTCCGACAGGAGGGGCAGCAGAGGGCACCTGTCTGACAGGAGGGGCAGCAGAGCCACACAGCAGCCACTGTGGGTTGCAGCAGGCTGTGCCACCTGTGCCTTGAGGAGGACTCACTTCTCCCTGCCTTCTTCCCAGCCCTTAGCTCCATCCTCTGGGCTCTTGCTTCTACCCTCTGAGACTTCCTCAGGGATAAGAAATGGCCTAAGTTTGCAACTGGGTAGCGTCCCTGCTTTCTTCCAGAGAAGGCCGAGAAGGGGGTCCAAAAATCTGTGTCCCTTTTAGTTCAAGCCAGCGGCACTTCCATCACTCTGCCAATATAGTTCTCTTAGAACCTTGTGGTTTTCTTTGAATTTTGTCAGAGTTCACCCCTTCCATTATTTTATCAGAGTTCACCCCTTCCGCTAGTCACAAACCACAATGGCTTCTCTGAGATGGGCCTTTGGTCCACCTTTGAGATAGATGTGGGACAATTCTCTTACGATTTTTTTAAAGTCCTATTGTTTAGCCTAGAGGATCTATGAGATACCCCTAAATCTGACATCTTAATAACACAAACCTTTGATTTCACCTTTACCACTGCCTAGGATTTGATCTTTGCACAGAGGCCATTTTTCAGTTTTGTGCGGAGAGATCGTGATGGTCAAAGTTTCACAAACCCATCAAGTCCTGACTTTTATATTTCTTTTTATATGACTTTTATATGACTTCTGTTCAAAACCTGAACCGTTCCTTAATTCATTTTTCTCTTCTCTCAAATTTCAAAACCTAAAACTATGTTGCTTGCTTTAAGATTAAAGTGATAAAATCTTCACGTTGGATGGGTTTAGATCACCACTGTCTGGCAGAAATATGATGTGAATACATGCAATTTTAAATTTTCTAGGATTCACATTTATAAAGTGAAAGAAACAGGGACAATTAATTTTAATGATATATTTTATTTAATCTAATATAGTTAAGATATTATCATTTTAGCATAAAAAATAATAGATATTTTTAAATTTTGTGTAGTAAGTTTTGAAATCCAGTGTGTATTTTACACTTATATTTCATGTATCCAACAAAGCTCTAATATCCAGTATCTTTAAAAAACTTAAAAACAAATTTGAAAGAAAAAAAAAACAACACCATAAACAAGTGGGCAAAGGGCATGAACAGACACTTTTCAAAAGAAGACATATATGTGGCCAACAATCATACAGAACAAAGCTCAACATCACCTATCATCAGAGAAATGCAATTCGAAACCACAATGAGATACCATCTCATACAAGTCGGAATAGATATTCACAAAAAGGCAAAAACCACAGACACTGGCAACTGGGATTGGAACTACTTCACTGACTCTCCTGGGTCTCCAACTTGGCCTTTCTCCTTGAAGACCTTGTGACTAGTCAGCTCCATAATCAATCAGCTAAGTCCTTGTAATAAATCTCTTTATACAAATATATATAGATACAGATTTTGAGGTAGACATAGATCTCCTATTGGCTGTTTTTCTGGAGAAACCTAATACAATGTTATTTGTACTTATTCCATATGATTTTCCATCTTTCCTTGATTATTTAAACCCTAATTGAGAATTGAAAAGTATGTAACTCTTTCTATCTTATTAAGTGTTTTACATTTTAATGGCAAGGACCCCGGCACCAGT